CAGCAGAATGGCGCAAGCTCAGACAAGATGCAGATCGATGGACAGGAGCGGATTCACAATCTTGCGGAAGAGGACAAGCTGAGGGAAATGTCGGTTGTGTGCTCGGGATTCCTTATGGAGGAGACCGTGGATCCAGATGACGACCACAAAAAGATCATGACGTTTGAACCTGAGAAGAAGGTATCGGTTCAGAAGCTCGGCTTTGCTGTTGGCCCATTCGAGCATATTGACCTCTCGTCCGAATCTAGAACAGAGGAAGATGAGGTCAAGCTCGGTATGAATGCGCTCAAGGTCCATGCCTATTGTCTACCACACCGAGCCGACTGGGTTCGAAACACCTCTGTCGCCCTAACAATGGCGGCTGACTTTTTCACCTACACCTTTGCACGGTATCCTTTCGGCAACTTCAAGATCTGTTTCCTCGACGATATGGTGCAGGATACGGTACCGCTCTACTCCATGGCCTTCGTCAGCAATCGCTTGCTATTCCCAGAGGACATCATCGACCCCGAGATCGAAGTTACCAGGAAGATTGTCCACACTCTGGCCAGTCAGTGGATTGGAATCAACATGATACCCAACACTCGAAATGACCTCTGGCTCATCATCGGTGTCGCTCACTACATGACGGATCTTTTCATGAAGCGCCTCTGTGGCAACAATGAGTACAGATTCCGCATGAAAACCCTCTCGGACAAGCTCGTACATGTTGACATTGACCGACCTTGTCTTTATGACCTCGGCCCCAGTCTCCACCTGGGAGAGTTTGAAATGGAATTCATGACCCTCAAAGCTCCAGTCGTCTTCTTCATCTTGGACAAGCGGCTCATCAAGGCTTCGGGAGGACACGGTCTGACACGCATTCTCCAGAAATTGTTGACCAAGGTTCAGATTGAGGCTTCCGATAAGTCAACGATCCTCGAAACAGAAAAGTTCCGTGCAGTTTGCGAGAAGGGAGCGCGATACCGACTCGAGAGCTTTTGGAATCAATGGGTCTACGGTTCCGGATGCCCGCGATTTGACGTCAAAGCCAAGTTCAACAAGAAGAGGTTATGCGTCGAGTTGACCTTGAATCAGATCCAGTTCCAGACGGTTAAGAAGCCTGCCTTGGAGAGAGATGACTTTCTGCGTGTGATCAAGGAGCGCCGTGCTGGTGTCAAGACGGGTGAGGTGCAGCCACTATTCACTGGACCGATGACAGTTCGAATCCATGAAGCAGACGGCACACCTTATGAACACATTCTGGAGATCCGGGAGGATGCGACACGTTCAACCAAGTTTGAGATTCCCTACAATACCAAGTACAAACGTCTCAAGCGGACTCGTCGCATGAAGGAGAAGCAGAACGTGGGCGCCAGTATGGACGCTGAAAACCTCGACGATACGCTACTCTATTGCTTAGGCGATGTCCTTCAAACCCCAGACGAGCAGGCCCAGTGGGAGTTGATTGATTGGGACCCTGACACCGAAAGGAAGATGGATCAAGAGTCATACGAGTGGATTCGCGTGGACGCCGACTTCGAATGGGCCTGCGATATGAAGCGGACCCTCGAGCCGTACATGTACGTGTCTCAGCTGCAACAAGACAGGGACGTCGTGGCTCAACAAGATGCCATGCTATACCTCACCCATGGCCCCCTGCACCCCATTGCTTCTGGCTTCCTCACCAGGACGTTGGTGGACCGTCGCTATTTCCATGGCATTCGGACCATGGCCGCAGAGGCACTGCCGCGGCAGGCCAATATCAAGGACATCTCGATGCTTGGTCTCCGACAACTAATGAAGGCCTTCAGTGAGATGTTTTGCCACAAGGGGACAAATCAGCCGAAGCCGAATGACTTTTCCGACAAGAAGCAATACAACGTCCAGTGTGCCATTATCAAGGCCATCGCTCAAGTCAGAGATGCTAATACCTACAAATGTCCACTCGAGGCCCGACAATTCATCCTGGACCAACTCCTCTTCAACAACAATGAGGACAACCCCTATTCCGACCACTTTTACATCGCCACACTCGTTGAAGCTCTTGCCACGTCCCTTATCCCCTCGAAGAAGGATGATTGGTTTGCCATGCAAAACAAGATACCCAACGAGGAGGAGACACAGTTCCTTGATAGGGCAATGGAACAGATCGAACGTGTCCTACGCCGCGATGAGTGGACCAATTCGTACCAGAACGTCTGGACGATTGCGGGCCTGAACGCGAAGCAGCGGCTGATGAAGGCCGAGGTGATACCAAAGGCGTACATCGACTTTGGGCAATATCTACTGGATGGAACGAGAGATCTTATCCGAATCAAGGCCTTCGAGGCGCTGATTGATCTTGGGGCCATGATGGACCCTACCATGTTTTCGTTGCTGATATACTCCCTGACTACCGACCGATCACCATACGTGCGCAATAAGCTCATCGACGCCGCGGCTTCTGGGCTTGCCGCTATCGCCTTTGGAGAGCATGCGAAGGTTGTTAAGAATGAACCTCCTCCCGAAGACGAAGAAGGCGACCTCCTCCTTGTCCAAGACAGTGCACAGGAGATCGAAGCCAGGAAGGAAATGTTTGCAAGGAAGGAGAACTTGGACGCTGCCCTCAAGGCTCTGCGACGAGAGATGGAGGAGACCTACGCAGGCGACGAGCGACACTACAGCACAGCGATGCGTAAGGCGCTAGATCACCCAGGTCTTGGTCGATGCGAAATGGAGAGTATGTTGGATCTGGCGGCAATGATGTTCGAGGAGGCATCCCAATGGATCATCACGCTGGCTCTGCCCAAGGCTTGGAAGGCCGAGCGATCGGCTGAGCAGCAGCTCGCCAACAAAGTAAAAAATCCCCCATACCAAACAATGCCACTGAGTTGTGCTGACTTGCGACAGTTGCTGGTGTTGTTCAAATCCTACTACAGGACAAAGCCAAAGGAGCCCATCGTACAACCGCCTCCTCCGCCACCTCCAGAGCCCGTGCGACCTATCCCTCTTCCGAGAACTTCATCGATTAAGATCAACACTCACAGATCTACCACACCCCAGCGTCCAGTGGCACCGCCTTTGCCTCAACCCCAAACTCAAACACAAAGTCCAGTTCCAGCCCAATCACTCGGGGAGAAGGACACTATCGTGGCTTCACCAGCTGTCTCTCGCCAACCAAGCGTTTCCTCCTCGTCAACCTCAAAGCCTGCTAGGCCTGTTGAGCCTTCATCGGTAGGCTCGATCAAGCGTCCGCGTCCAGAGAAAGACGAGCATCACACCCCGGCACCTAAGCGCCCCAAGACAGAGAAGCCATCAGGACCCGACCTGGGTAGCGTGCGGAGGAAGAGCCGCATTGTTACTCTCAAGACTAAAACTCCCGGGCTCCTTGGAGTCATGCTTCGGGATGCGAGGAAACAGAGTCTCAATGGCAGGACATCTCTGCCGTCGGCTGCTCCCAAGGATGGCCTTCCGGTTAGTGTGAGGGACACTATCACTGCCAAACCTGCAAGAAAGCCACTTCCAACTGGGGACCAGCCAATCAGAAAGCCTCTACCTGGAGGCCCAGCATCCTCACCGCATGCTTCGGCATCGAGTCCAAAGGTTTCGCTCAATTCGCACTCGAATTCCACCCCGAAGCCAAAATCTGCCAGTCCTGCTTCGAACACACCAACTGGGGCGCCGCCTCCACGGCCCAAGATCAAGATCATTCGAAAGCCACATCCACCACCATCGGCCTCTTAGAATTTGGAGCTCAACCCATTCAGCACTTCTGAGAGAGTGGCTGAAGCCCAAGGAGCTTATGAGATTGTCTCGTTTGGCGCCTACGACGGAGGACTAGGGGGAGGTAGCTGGAAATTCTAGGAAGACCTTGGCCACAGGGAGTGATGCGCAGTGGAGGAGGAAAGGATTACAAGTTTTTCCACCCCGAAGTTGGCCGTTGTGCTACAGAAAAGAAATGATGATGCTTCGACGAAGCTGGTATACAGCATCTTGAGTAGACTACGTGGCTGCGAGGGTTGCATTTACTGGCGTTGGGAGTGCGCTTGATTGGTACTCAAGTTGCGATGTGGTTACGGAGGCAACGGACGAGCGCGGCAGCGACGGGAATAGGTCTAAATTACTATACAGAACGCTTTATTCAAGATATCCCTTTTTTTCCCCATGTCGTTTCTTATACTTGGCCATCCTCACATCCGGCCTCGGATGATTGATTGTCCTATGGGACCTGTCTGATTTGAAACGGGCTGAGCCACGTCTCCACCCAGTTGTCAGCCTTGCCAACTGTGGATGAACGGAATTGTTGGTACACATGACGAGAGGTCAGACAAGATGTGTAGAGAGCGCAGAATAAGCTCTACGCATGCCTGAGTAGTATATAAGAGGAAACATTAAAGGAAACGAGAATTACGATGGATGTTATTGCTGTATCTCTGTTGTCATGGCGAGGCTGACAATATCTTTTGCCCGACCATAGCCGACCTCGGCGCTCCAACTGATAAGATAAAGCCGCGAATTATCGCCCTCCAATTGCCCCAAACACCCCGAGATAAGCCCGCGCTAACGCAAAAAAGCCATCACGTGATGCGGATTCTTCCGCGCCTTGCTCAGATCTCGTCACCCGAGCCGGAGGGAGCTCTTCGCAAGTTTGCAAGAAAGGCTGGCTTTCCAAGTGCACAACCCAACCGAGCCGACTTTCATCACCCCCCCCCCCCCCACCTGTGGTTTCTGCCTCTGCTTCATCTTCGCCATCAGTCTCGCACATGCCCGCCTCCATGTAGAGTGCCCCTGGCGCTGGCCTTTTATCCATTTGGTGTAAGTCTTTCTATTGTTTCCGTCATGTCGCGATCGCCTCTTCCTCTCCTGAGCTGTGGGTGTGTCGCTTGTCGCCCACGTCTGCAGGATCAGCCTCAACCTTCACCTCTAGGCATCTCTGTCGTGATTCAGCAACGCTGAATGATTTGGGAATGGCTGCCCATCACGGCGCACCGGAGCTCGAATGAACTGTTTTGCTGATGCGTCCCCTCCAACAGAAGAGCATGAACAGCCAGAAGCTACATGGTAGTGGCCCTCCAGCATACGATCGAGAGCGCGAAATGGACGACCGACACCGAGCACTACAACAACGCGAGGAGATGGCCCGTCGAGACCAAGAACGAGAGCGCGACCGGGAGCGCGACCGAGAGCGGGAGCCCGGCGATCGGTACCAGGCGACAACTCACCATAGCAGCGCTGGCTCCATTCCCATCCACCAGCCGGTAGCATCGCGGATCCCCGGTGCAATCCACAGCCCCGGTGGATTGCTTGCGAACCATAACGGGAATCCCCAGATTCCTCTTGGCGCCCCCTCTGGTGGTCCCCTGGCCACCTTTGGCGGGCCGCTGCAGAACGAGCACGGCCGGCCAGTCCAGCACGGAGGACAAGCCAACGCAAACCCCCAGCACCCCATGTTCGCGCCGATGCCACATACCACCGCGCCCCCGACCTCATCGCAGGTGGCGGCGAGCGGTGTCGCTGCCGTGTTTGGTGGCCCCCTACAACAAGAAGGTCAGCGCGGGGCTCAGCAGGGCGCGCCGTTCCCAGGCGCCGCTGGCTCGGCGGCTCACCAGATCCCTGGAGGCATCACCCAGGGACAGCAGCCAATTTTGAATGTGAGTCTACGTGATGTCATTGTTGGCCTTGTTGTTATTTGGCGGGTGGCATGTATGGGGAGCAATTGCTGTTTGTTGTTTGCGCGTCGTTGCTAGCCAGTCGCTTTTGAGCTGGCGATGCGACAAGCCGCCAAACGGGTAGCCATGGCTCTGCAATGCTCCCTGCATCCCTGCTAGTTTCTACCTGGAGATGCTCTAGGTGCCTTTCGTGTCTTGCTATGCGATGCAAGCACGCAGCCTCCTGTCCCGCTTGTATCCTGGCAGCTTTTGTTTAACATCGCCACCAAACATCGTCCACAGAGCCTCCCTTGGACAGTCCTATCAGATGCAGGCAGCCCCGTTGACATCCTCTGCAAGCACTACTCATGCTTGTGTTTCCTTTCTTTGCACGGTCGTGGCCATGTTGAATTGCTTGCTAATGCTTCTCCTAGGATGCCCTCACCTACCTGGACCAGGTGAAGGTGCAGTTTCATGATCAGCCTGATGTATACAATCGCTTTCTTGACATTATGAAGGACTTCAAGAGCCAGGCGTATGTCAATCACCAAAAGTGCTGAGAGGGACGATTACTGACGAAATGTGTAGCATTGATACTCCGGGCGTTATCAACAGAGTTTCGGAGCTGTTCGCGGGACATCCCAACCTGATCCAGGGCTTCAATACTTTCTTACCTCCTGGTTACCGCATCGAATGTGGCGCTGGCAACGATCCTAACACTATCAGAGTTACGACTCCCATGGGCACCACAGTGCAGTCTATCACGGGTCGCGGGAATCAGGGCGACGGCCATGGACCTGCTGCGGCGAGCCAGCCCATCTTTCCTGAGCGGGGTGGCCAGTGGCAGCAGAGGCCACAGCACAGCATTGAGAGCCCCGAGGCACAGTTTAGCACACCTGTGCAGAATGGCGCAAGCCTCTTTGTTCAAGCTGCAGCTCAGAATGCGGCCAGTTTCGAAAACTCTGGCTCGGGCCAGCGACGCGGTCTGCCACAAGGCAGTTCTGGGCCCGGCGAGGGGGGACCAAACGCTCGTCATGCGTTGACACCCACCCCTTCGGGTCCGGCTGCAGTCAATGGCAATGCTGCGAACCAGGCAAACATGGAGCGCCGTGGCCCCGTCGAATTCAACCATGCTATCAGCTACGTGAATAAGATTAAGGTAAGCCCGCCCCCCTGATTGCTGCTCCCGCTGAGGCACAGCGTATACTAATCATGGCCAAGAACCGCTTCCAGGACAAGCCTGAGATTTACAAGCAATTCCTTGAAATCTTGCAGACATACCAGCGGGAGCAGAAGCCCATCCAAGACGTGTATGCACAGGTGACGACCCTGTTCAACTCGGCCCCGGACTTGCTGGAGGACTTTAAGCAGTTCTTGCCAGAGTCTGCTGGCCAGGCGAAGCAGACACCGGGCCGAATGGAAGATGGAACCCCGACCGGTCCAAGCCATACACCACAACCTGCCATGAGGGATGGCCAGAAGATGCCCCCCTTGGGTAGCTTTGCGCCACCCGCAAGCGCGAGCAAGGACAACAAAAAGCGGCTCCGGGCGGACAAGCAGGCAGCTCAGCCCGCAACTGTGCTCGCTGAGGTGACGGCGGCAGCTCGACTCATGCCTCCTGCTGTGAATGGCAACAAGCGACCCAAGCTCAACCACGCCAGGGCGTCTGGCGAGGGCTCCGCAGTAGAACCAACCCTCACCCCTGTCATGCCAGAGCCCTATCCGCCACGATCCTCGTCAACGTCCAACCAGGATGAGATTGCCTTCTTTGAGCGCGTCAAGAAGTTCCTTAGCAATCGATCTTCGATGAACGAGTTCTTGAAGCTCTGCAACCTGTTCAGCCAGAACATCATTGACCGAAATACATTATTTCACAAGGGAGCCCTCTTCATTGGCGCGAACCCTGATCTGATGAACTTTTGGAAGAGCTTCGTGGGAGTTGAGACTCAGGATGTCATCATTGACAACCGGCCGGCACCGCCAACGGACAAGGTATCTCTCAGCAACTGCCGCGGCTACGGTCCAAGCTATCGATTGCTTCCGAAGCGAGAGCGCCTCAAGCCCTGCAGTGGGCGAGATGAGCTGTGCAATTCGGTGCTCAATGACGAGTGGGCGTCGCATCCCACTTGGGCGTCTGAGGATAGTGGATTTGTGGCTCACAGAAAGAATCAGTTCGAGGAGGGTCTTCACCGTATCGAGGAGGAGCGCCACGACTATGACTTCAACATTGAGGCTAACCTCAAGTGCATCCAGCTCCTTGAGCCCATTGCGCAGCAGATGCTCGCTATGTCTCCCACCGAGAGGGAGACATTCCAGATGCCTGCTGCGCTCGCTGGCCAGAGCACATCCATCTTTAAGCGTATCTGCAAGAAGATCTACGGCGACCGCGGCATCGATGTCGTCAACGACATGTACACCCATCCCTTTGACGTGGTCCCAGTCTTGTTGGCCCGCATGAAGCAGAAGGATGAGGAATGGCGATTCTCCCAACGCGAGTGGGAGAAGGTTTGGCACGCTCAGACCCAGAGCATGCACCTTAAGAGTCTGGATCACATGGGCATTCTTGTGAGGCAGAACGACAAGAGGAATCTGACGGCTAAGCACCTTGTCGATGTGATCAAGACAAAACACGAGGAGCAGCGCCGTGAACGATCATTGAACGGCAAGGCGCCTCGCCATCAGTTCGTCTGGGACTTTGCCGACAAGAACACGGTCATTGATCTCCTTCGACTGATGATGTTGTACAGCTTGCACAACGGACAGCACAGCAGCCAGGAGAAGGAGCGGATTCTCGAGTTTTTCGAGATGTTCATCCCCGCTTTCTTTGACATCCCCGAGGAAACCATTCAGGATAAGCTCCCCAAGATTCCTCCAGATTCTGGCGAGGAGGAAGTGGAGGACCACACGCCCGCGGAGCTGACCAACGGCCGCAGCCGCCGTAACGGCAAGAAGGGAGATCTTCTTAGAGGGGTTCTTGATCCCGGTCGTAACGGTAGCAAGTCGCGGGGACACAAGGATAAGGATAAGGATAAGGACAAGGACAAGGACAAGGACAAAGACGACAGCACGTCTGGCAGCAAAGAGACCACTCCCGATGTCACTTCGGCCAACGAAGAGGAGATGCCCGATGCCTCTGAAGACACGGCCCACCCGGATGTTTCTAACGAGCGATGGATGCCCAGCATCCCCAAGCCGTTCATGGTTGGGCAGAGCGATGCTCTCTTGAGCACAGACGGCGAGCTGAAGGCTGATGGGTTCTTTGCACGGCCGTGGTACAACTTCTTCTGCAACCAGACGCTGTTTGTCTTCTTCAGCATCTTCCAGACTCTGTATAAGCGACTCCAGGACCTCAAGGACAGCAAGGCAGCCGTGGCCAAGGAGGTTGACCGTCTCAGTAAACCGAAGCCTGCTAGAGACATTGGCTTCACTGAGAACCACATGAAGTTCTTCGGCAGGAACGACGACCCCGATACCTACTGGCCCAAGACACTGGAGCTCATCGAGGAGTACATCACAGGCGATGTCGATGAGACGCGGTACCAGGACGTGATGCGACACTACTACCTCAAGGCAGGGTGGAAGGTGTACACGATCCAGGACCTCCTCAAGACTCTGTGCCGGCTTGCCCTCACATGCAGCAGCACCGATGCGAAAGAAAAGACTCCTGATCTGATTCAGCAGTACATTGCTAGCCGCGAGAAGGAAGAGACTAGTTACCAAACCGAGATCAGCGCTAGGAAATTTGCCGAGAAGTGCGTTAAGGACGGAGACATTTTTGTCATTTGCTGGGTAAGTTGAACTCTCCTGAACTGGGTTGACGTTGATCCTTTCTAACACGATGATTAGTTCCCGGCCAAGGCTGAGGCCTCTGTACGATGGCTTCAACGGGAGGAGACAACATTCTACATGGATGAGATGCAACTCCGTGAGCGTTGGCAGTACTACATCTCATCATTTATCCGTGTCGAGCCTACCGAAGGAGTACCTAGGTCCAAGCTCCAGAAGGTGGTCCTCACACGGAACCTCCCCTCTGGTGACGCAGACGCAGACGAAGATGCCATTCCCAAGCCTGTTTCTTACAGCGAGAACTTGACCATCAGCATTTGCCTCAAGAGCTCCAAGATGGCGTGGGCCCCGGGCACGTCCGAGTACGTTGTCTATGACCAAGCTCCCAAGACGCGGGAACAGCGCGAGCGACGCGAAAAGTTCCTCCGTGCGTTGACGGGGTACCGCGAGAGCAAGCTGCTCGAGAAGTGGGTGCACAACCCGTCGTGGACCAAGGACCTCAGCCCCGAGGAGGTACAGGAGCAGAACAAGAACTTCCGCCGGTGGATGGACGAGGGCGTTGTGCCTCCCAGTGCTGCTGAGGACGTGGACATGGAGTAGCGCTCTGCCTCGGAACAATCAGTGGTTGAGACGTCTGAGGAACACGTCGGTGGGTGGGTTGATGACGACCTAGATCGAGATACCATCATCGACCGTGGATGAGAGAGAGGGCGGTTAAGAAGGGTTTGATTCAGTTATGGGGAAAAAATAAGCATGGCCAGACAAAAATGCCCTCCCGGCTCGGTCGGTCGTACATATACGGGATATGGCTGGTGGTTTGCAGGGAGGTCATAGAGAGGGTGAGGGTGGGGGTTGAGGCCTGGCATGCATGATTCAAGGAAGAAAGGAAGGTTCGGGTATTTCACCAGCGTTCATTTCGCGTTGTTATTTTTGGTTCATTCCATGCAAAGTTTTTTTGTTTTGTTTTACAGTTCCCTGTCTCTTCATTCAAAGACATGGACCTGACCGACTGTAGGAGAATAGTTGCGTCTCAACATTCCGCCTTGTTTGTGCTTATCCTGACGGGAGAGGGCAAACTATGAGGACAAGAAGCCCTCTCTGGCCTGTACTCTAGAACTAAATAGCCACTGCATATTCATGATTCATATACGTCTTTTACTCTGTTTTCCAGACTCCGTCTCATTTGATAGCTTGTGTCTGATTGACCCATTTTTGCTGTCGTCACTGCGTAACTAGCTGTCAAGGCCAGGGCTTGAGTTCACTCAGAACCTCAGGTGTAAGTCCTGACTGTTACGCCAGGCGAAAAGCCACACGCGAAAGGGCAAGGGAAATATCTCGACGTATTTGATGTCTTTTCTCAATTTTTTTCTTGTTGTTCATCTCATATGCTTTTTCATATGCTCATTATCCTTGAAGCCATTTGTAATAATCCCTGACCGTCCACACTCTGCGTCGCTCCCACTTTTCTTTTCCCAGTTCTCTCCCACTTAGGATTGGAGTTCGAGGTGGTAAGATCGAATGATGGCATCTGCATCGTCGACCGCAAGAGGTCGGATGTCGGCCAAGGCCTTGATCTTTTGTGTCCTAGAATCCAAGTTAACAAGGGGTTCACAAGTCCACTAGGCACAGGGGGGCCTTACACTTCCTTGATTTGGTCGTCAGTCATGGTCAGGCCAAGCTGTTCGACACGGCTCTTGATGGCATTCCAGCCAGTAAGTCTTGAGGCAAAGTGGACGTATCGGCTCATGCCGAAATCGGCTGGGTCGATGATCTCGTATGTTGAAGGCGCTGGCTGATGTTAGCAGTGATCGAGATGTGATTGCTACCACGGATGCCCCTCTTCTAGCTGCAGAGACGAAACTTTCGTAGGAGATTGAGACGGGGAATCGCGTCCAGCTAAGAAGGTTAAAGGAGGCCAAAATGGCGACGTACAGTTAAGAATGGCCTTGGAGTGGATGCCGGCCTTGTGGGAAAAGGCACAGAAACCTATAGAAAAAGTCAATTCGTGCTCAAGAGGCGTTGATGTGTCGTTAAAGCGCAGCGGCGGGATAGTGGTAGGACGCGGGAAGCCAGAGGGAAAAGGCAAAGACTGGGCAAAAACTCACCAGTGACGGGGTTGTTGAAGGGGATGTTCTGTCCTCGTTGTTAGCCTACATTGTCGCCGCGACGGTCATGGCTTGCTAAATCTTACAATTTGGACATGGTCCGCAACGAGATCTTCCAGCGCCAGGAGCTTGTGCAGCTTATACCTGGAGGTGACGTAGTCGTGGCTGCCAACGATCATGCGGGCGAGGAGACCACCCAAGGGCTATCACGATGTTAGAAACGTCAGGGACGTGTCGGTGGCGTGGTGCACTTACAGTAATGCCGTTTCTCTCACCGATACCGAGAACACTGGTGTCGATGTCTGTGGCAGACCTGTCAGAGCGAGCTCATCCCTCGAATCTTGAGTTCTCGACTTACGTGTGGCACCAGCCTCAAGAGCTGCGTGGGCGTTTGCGACGGCACACATAGTGTCGTTATGGCTATTAATTGAAGCATTAGTCCTGAAAATAACAAGTCCTTCAAGGTCGCCGCGACCAAGGATAGTGTGACTACATACAAATGAGTCTCGATATCACAGCCGACAACACCTGTTATCGAGTTAGTACGCAGCAGAGCACCTTGAGTTCAGAGGATGGACTGACCTCGGAGAGTGCGCACGAGATCATAGACTTGACGGGGCGTGGCACATCCCACAGTGTCCGCAACACCCACACGGTTGACGCCAGCCCGATCGACAGCACGGTAAAGATCAAGGAGATCCACCAGGTCACCTAGACGAATTTGTTAGTCATATTGTCGAATGGCGATGGGATGAATGCAGTGCAAGAGAATCCTGCTGGCCGCCATCTAATGCAATTGAGATCCTCCCCAACTGGCGTCAGCAAGCTATCATGGTTTTGAGCCAGCTCTCGTCTTTCAGTCATGATAAGGGACAGTCATCCCTCTTCCTCAGGCGTCTGACCCCGATATGCATGTACCAGCTGCTGTGTTTGGAAAGGCGTGACGCGAACCGGACGATATTGACGGCGTAGGTATAAGCAAAATTCGTTGGTGCATATCGAGTTCAATGACCGAAGGTCGAGGATGAAGCGGGAGTCCCATATCATGACCAAAGTGTTGGAGTCGACCCAAGCTGTGACAGCTGCGAATGGCGGGGGACGAGTATATCGTGCCAATCAGGGCTACCAGATACACACGACCCAATTGCTTCAATGGAGGCCAGAGAAAGAGCCAAGCAGGCGGGAGAAGAATGAACCGAACAAGGAATACTGACTTCTGAAACTGTCTTCACTTGAGAAGCGAACCTCGACGCCGCGGCTGCGAGCTTGGTCAGCTTTCATGTCTCGGAGAACTCTGACGCCCCCTCGACGGTCTGTGCAAAACAGTGTCTTTCCCCCAACGGGCTGATGACATACCTCTTGATGTAAGCGATAACCTCGAGGGCAGTCTTCTTGATGTAGTCCATGTCCTTGCCATGGGAGTGCTCCCGGAGCTGCTTGGAGGTGCCAATGACGACGTCGACACCGTCGACTCCTGTATCGCAAGCAAGCTTGGCATCCTGGATGGTCTGTTAGAAAATCATGTTCCCGGGACAAAACTTGGTGATCCAACTCACTTCCATGTTACACCGCACATCTGCAAGTCGTTAGCCTATTAGTTAATCGGAAGCGGGGACGTCGCCGATGTGGGCGCGGGACTCACGGGTCAGGATCTTGGACTGTAAAGGTTGTCAGCATTCTGCAAAGTTAGACAGTAATAGGGAAACTGACCTTGAGGCCGAGCTTGCAGATAGCCTCGCAGTCCTCACGCGATTGAGGAGAGGCAGCGGGAGAGGTCAGTTCGATGTACTCGACGCCAAAGTCGGAGAGAGCAGTGGCGCTGTAGAAGAACCGTTAGTCAAGGCGGAATGAAATCGGAGTTGATCCTTGGCTAACATCTTGATCTTGGCCTCCCTGTCGAAAAAGGCATTGGCGAATTGCTCGCCTTCTCGGAGTGTACTCTCGATGATCTGGAACCGGTTCGTGTTGGAGAGGAAGTCACCGACGGACTGGTAAGGCGATCCCGCGTGGTGACCACCACGGTTGGGGTTGCCATTGGCAGGGGCGGATTCGGGCTCGGGACACATGATGAGAGATTTGGTCTGGCGGAATTCGATTCAAGTCAATTGGAGTAGGAGATCGATTGTTTGTTTGGTAAAGATGGAAGTGAAGGAGAAGAGAAGAAGGGGACTAACACATATACCTACGTTAGTGGGAATTGTGCGTCGGATGGAGGGGGAGGGGGGGGCAAGGAAAAAAAAAACTTTGGACGGGATAGGCTAAGGGTTGTTTTTCATGACACACTGTGTGACGTTTTGCATGCTCGTCTCTGACAATACATTTAATCTCATAAAATACTTTTAAATACCTCCATGTACAGTGTAAATCTAGCTCACCGCATCGACTGTGTGGTCCATCTGCAGGAGGGATCCATGACTCACGTCCAATGACTGCGTTACCCCAGGTCCGTACTTCGGCCCATGATCCATTTTTATCACAGTCACAGATTCACCTGGGCGGGTTGACCGAAGAATAGCAGGAGGCAGATTACTCACCCCACAGATTGGGATTGGTCCTGTGGTGGTTGAGTTTTTGCTCCTAAGTTGCCAGTCTATTTAACTGAGAATAGTGTAGGAGATCAGGTAGTTTCTAGGAATAACTTGGCAGAATTATAGAGTAAGTCTTTTGTTATTTTATAATTTCATCTCATAGTTTATCTTTTTTATTATTCTAATTAGGTAAGTCTAGGTGTTTTCAGTTTGTGCATGATAGTTTGTCAGGGTGAACTTTCGTCTAACAAACATTCCGTGGGTTTCAGCTTGGTACTGTCACAAACTCCCACATTCAGCAACTCATAAAATACTACAGGCTTTCCCCTTCTTCATGATCTATTAGCATTTTGAGCCGACTCATCAATATTTCCTACCTCCCTGTTCCCGCCCTGAGTAGGTGTTCCCGGCCGTTGGTTTCTTATTGAAGATACTACACCTCACCATGAAGCTCCTCTGATGAGAAACCTCGCGGGAGGATACTATCGTTGCTAAATCACTACGACTCAAGCCCGGATGGCGGCAAGATCAACAGCATCTTTGGCGAAAGGATGCCGTGCAGTCATTATTCACCAGGAACTGAACTGACACTGAAGAAGTCGTTCTTGACATCATCGGACGTCGAGAGATTCCACAGCCTGGTAAAGGAGCGTGAGAACAAGCATGGGTCCGTGAGAATACGAACGCCTGATATTCGCTGCATTCAAGAAGAATCATTGTTGCCACCTATATCAGCTTTTACGAACCGCCTATGGAAGAGATGTAGGTCACCGAATTTGACAGATGATAGTCAGTTGCTCAATAGATTTATATCACTTCAACCTGCTTGCTATGCTTATCGTGTTGATAGCTGAAAGTGATCTCACCCGCGTTCGCAACCAGTTGCCTGACTTCTTATCCACAATACAGAGGCTCATCATAGAAAAGAGGCTGGGCCAGGGCGATCAATTCACTGTACGGAAACAAAGTCTTCCGCCCCAAGTTGCTATACCAAGGAACTGGGCATGGCTTTGGAGACGATATCGGTTGCAATCACTCAGGTGGTGACATGTGGACACTTGATGAACTAGGTAGCACAGACATATTGTCTATTTGACAATTGAAAACTTGCTATGCTGCCCTCACTTCTTTAGACTGTGATAAAACAGAAGATGTTGGGATCTTTTAAACCACACCACAACTCAGATCCCATCCACCCCACGGAAACTTACTTACACCGCGCACGGGTATCGAACAACAAGACACCCCAAGAAGGACCTGAACGGAACTGAGCTGTTGCCAAGGGTAAAGGCATCCAATGCCGAGGTATATTAGATATATGCTAACTTTTTTCTACTCGGTCCGCATAATTTGCGGTTCGTCATGTCATTCCAAATCATCACATTTCCCAATACGCCCCCTTCTATTGCAGGCTCTCAATGACGAGAGCAGAGGCACCGCCACCACCGTTGCAGATACCGACGCAACCAATCTTGGCCTTCTTCTCCTTCAGGACGGAGGTGAGGGTGGTGACGATACGGGCACCAGAGCAGCCAAGAGGGTGGCCGATGGCGACAGAGCCACCATAGACGTTGACCTTGTCGGGGTTGAGTCCGAGGATCTTGATGTTGGCGAGAGCAACAACGGAGAAGGCCTCGTTGATCTCGTAGTACTCGATCTGCTCGGGGGTCAGACCAGCGTGCTTGATGGCCTTGGGGATGGCCAGCGAGGGAGCAACGGTGAAGCGCTCAGGCTCGCGCTCAGCATCACCCCAACCAAGGATCTTGGCAATGGGCTTGAGACCGAGCTCCTTGAGCTTGGCCTCGGAGACAAGGACAACGGCAGCGGCACCATCGTTGATGGGGGCGGCGTTGGGAGCAGTGACGGTTCCGTCGGGCTTGAAGGCAGGGCGCATGACCTTGAGCTTGTCGACGTTCAGGTTCTTGACCTCATCATCACGCTCGACCTTGACAGGGGGCTTGCCACGGCCACCGCTAACCTCGACGGGAACAATCTCGGTGAACAGGCCAGCCTCGGTGGCAGCCTGAGCCTTCTTGTACGAGTTGATGGCGTACTCGTCCTGGGCCTCACGGGTGAGCTCGTAGTCCTGAGCGCAGAGCTCGCCAGCGAGACCCATGTGCTCCTTCTTGTACGAGTCGGTCAGACCGTCCTTGAGGACGCCATCGACGAGGGTCTGGTCGCCGTACTTGGCGCCGGTTCGGAGGTTGGGGAGGTAGTGAGGGGTGTTGGACATGGACTCGGTTCCGCCGGCGACGACGATATCGGAGGTGCCCAGCATAATGTTCTGAGCACCAAGGATGATGGCCTTGAGAGAGGAGGCGCAGACCTTGTTCACGGTCGTGGCAATGACGCTCTGGGGGAGGCCAGCGCCAATGGCACACTGGCGAGCAGGACCCTGGCCGAGACTGTCAAAGTTAGCATCAGTTACATAGAACACGAGCAGAAGATTCGGGCCATTGCTCAAGCTGAAGTTGGGTTAAGGGGGAAAAACGGAGCTTACCCAGCAGAGAGGACATTGCCAAAGAAGACCTCGTCGACAGCCTCAGGCTTGATACCAGCTCGCTCGACAGCGCCTGCAGAGAGTTAGCTCCAGTTTCTGGCCATTGAGGGGTTGAACGTACCCTTGATGGCGGTAGAACCCAGCTGAACGGCGGTCAAGCTCGACAAGGAGCTACAATTGTCAGCATCATGAACTCTCCGACTCAAATACCGCTCTTGCGAATATTTCTCTCGTTGTGCTTACCCGAGGAACGAGCCAACGGGCGTACGAGCCACAGAGACAATGTAGACGGGGGGAAGGTTAGACATTTTGACGACGGGTTTCTGGAGCGAGTCTTGGAGTTGCTGAGAGACTGAAGGTTCAGGACGGAGGTTTATAGATTGATAAAGGAAAGGAGGACGGGAGCGGAGCGGAAATCGGCGGGAAATTTGTTGAGGAAGGAAGCGAAAGAGGTTGCTACTACCTACCTACTTAATGAAATAGGCTAAGGTAGGCGCGGCGCGGTGCGGTGCGGTGCGGTACGGTGCAGGCCGGGCAGTTACCTAGAGAGTTACAGTACGTACAGGTATTATCGAGCCCCTCCTTCCAGGTGGGATGAAAACCTCCCAGCCTGCGGTTGCCATCAAAAACGGCAAGCGCAACACACACAGAAAATGAAAATGGAGGGGCACCGGCTTTTGCGAATACGCCGCACTCGGCATCTGAAGGTGGTCCCCTGTCGTTTTCGCACGCGACCCCCACCGGTACCTGCCTCCGATCTCCGGCCAATGACGGCCTAGTGGAAGAGTGGATCGCAGCCTTGCAGTAGCGCACGTGATTCAGCCTCGTCTGGTCCCATCGAAAAAGTTGGCGACGCGCGCAAGGCAGGGACGAAGCTGAAGCTCTGGGAGACAGTGACAGGATTGACGATTGGAGAAGTTGCATTTCCGCATCGCCAACCCCTCCACTCTCTGCACACTGTTTTAGCATCTTGCGCTTCACTTAGCTGGAACGGGCAAGATGGATGATCTCTATGATGAGTACGTATCTTCTTTCCTTCCCGTCGCGATCTCCAGTTGCGGCGCGCTGACTTGTCGCGAATAGGTTCGGTAACTTCATTGGCGAGGAGGCCGGGTCCGAGGAGGCGTCTGAGGCGGGTGTCGAGGCCGGCGACTATGTTTATGATGATGAACCAGAGGAGGCGCCTGGTGTGACAGGCCATGAGCTAATGGAGATTGATGGTATGAGCTCCCGTGATCTTGTTTGATGGCCTTGATGCTAACCTTGCGACTCGCAGACGGACCGTCCAACGCCATTATCCTCCACGAAGACAAGCAATACTATCCAACAGCCGAGCAAGTGTACGGAGCCGATGTCGAGACCCGCGTCGAGGAGGAGGATGCGCAACCCCTTACGCAACCCATCATCGCGCCCGTCGAGCAGAAGAAGTTCAACATCGAGGAGGCCGACCTACCGCCCGTCTTTTTCGACCGCGAATTCATGACAGACCTGATGAACTTCCCTGAGCAAACACGCAACGTTGCGCTAGCTGGACACCTGCACCACGGCAAGACAGCCTTCATGGACATGCTCGTCCTGGAGACACATGACATCACAGATCGCCTGGAGCGGAGGGTTGGCAAGAACCGCGACGAGCAATTGAGATATACCGATGTCCATGTGCTGGAGAGGGAGAGGGGACTTTCTATCAAGGCAGCGCCGATGAGCTTGGTATTGCCCAGCACCAAGGGCAAGTCGCATCTCGTCAACCTTATCGATACCCCCGGCCACGTCAACTTTGTCGATGAGGTCGCAGCATCATTCCGGCTGGTCGACGGCGTCTGTTTAGTGGTGGATGTCGTGGAAGGTGTCCAGATCAACACGGAGCAGATCATCAAACACGCCGTTCTGGAAGACATACCCCTGACTCTCATCATCAACAAGATGGACCGTCTCATTCTTGAGCTGAAGCTCCCCCCCAAGGATGCCTATTTCAAGCTCAAGCACGTCGTCGAGGAGGTCAACACA